CCAAAGTATTGAGCCACAATTCCGTAACAACATAACAGAAAAATTACACAACTGCAAACAACAAGCCCAACTAAAAAAAAAAACAAAAGAAAATGGTACTGTAGGGCGGGGGCAGCTCTAGTGAGAACTATAACTAGTTGTAGAGAACATTTATAGAAATAGATGATGTAAATAAAAATAAAAATAACTCAAATAGATTGTGAGTTGATTGGCAGCTGTGAATAATGTAAGTTATTTTGCGATGTTTACAATTTAGGATTATCACTCTTGCACCGAAGTCTCAAACTTTTCTATTTTTTCCTTCAGCATAATAGAAATATTACAGACATCTGATATTTCGCCCACGAGCACTGTGGTATTTCAAGTCCTCAACAGCAGGCGCGTGACACAGAGGCTGAAGATGCAAAACCGTGTGTGAAAGAACAGAGACGTTGAATTTCCTTGTCAAGGATACAATATTAAACATACTGAATCACCACACACGGAGATTGTTTCTGTTTTGAAATGGATTTACACTTTTGTCCAAAGGAGATTAATTTAATTGAATTAAAAAAGAACAAAAGCATGTCACGCATGAATTTGTGAGCGGAAGACAAGTTTGACAGGTTTGTATCACCATGATACCCTCCTTTGATCATTTAAAAGTCGTTTTTGTTGGTATTTTGCGAACACAAAGGTTGAGCATTGACAAGACTGACTGTCTTGTTTCTTGACACTTACCTCAAACAGTGTTTATCCTCTCACAGAGCATGGCTCAAATGAGAGTCTCAGTGAGGTTAACCCTTTAGCCGTAATTGCGTCAAACGCCAAAAAGGAAAAACAATAATAACGGTTAGTCGTGAAAGACTTTAAACTTAAAACTCTTTCTTTTAAGCGTAACGGAAAGAAATGAACCGTTAGCCGTAACATTACTCAAAAATTTAACCGTCAGCCGTAAAAGCCATCATCCCATTGAGACCCTCTTAAAAGGGTACAAGATATTGTAACGGAAAATTTACAAAACACTAAATAGTCAAAGGCAATGCGATTTGGCCAGCATCTTGCTCAGAAAAAGAAGAAGTGATATTCCTGTTCCTTCACTGATGCAACAGAAATCGGAGTAACTTCAATGAAGTTTTCAAAATGACTGCGTTCCATACGTACGTTCGCACTGCTAGCACTCTTCTGCGCAAGTTCATGTTAAAACGGAAGAGATAAAGGTCATCAGGTCATCCAATTCCCTGCGGGTATAAACTTGGAGGATATCTGCAGATTAACCCTACTATCTATTGCTTGGTCTGAGTTATTTCTTGAAAATATTCATAGGTTATAATTTTATTAGAATCGTACCTCGAAGGGCAGAAAATGGACCAGTCGTTTCTGTCCAATGCCTTGCTTTCTGTCCGGGATGAAGTAACAAGTATGTCACTCAAATCATTATGAAGATTTAACCAAAGTGTGCCAAAAAAAATTCTCACCTGTAGTCTTTTTTGTTTTTTAAAACTTGTAAGAGAAACATTAATTAATAAGTGATTGATTACTTAATAAATCGAGAACTAACACATTCGCACCCACATAAAATCTTTCGACATGTCGTTGGAAATAAGTTATTATTACTTAGTGACAGCATATGTAAATCTGACAAGCCTACATCTGGGGGATTTTGGAATTAAGAAAGCTAGCCACTCTATTTACAGAACTTTATAGGTAAAGGTAGGGGGCGCGGAAACAAAATGTAAAGGGACATGAGGAGACATGAGGGAGCGCAATAGTTTTTAATGCCAAGTAATAAGGAAAATTAGCACTTTGTTATGTTCTAAGAAGCCTTACAAAAGATTAAGAAGTCTAAGAATTCACTAGTACTAACATCTATAAATTCGCAATAGTACAGGAAAAACTAATTTCGTCCATCTGACTGTTGCCGTAATCATACTTACGAAGTCATTAACATAAATTCAAGAAGACAATGCCCATTGATCGTGTGTCCAATATTGGACCCGCCTTGCAAACAGATGTTAATTATTAACAAAACAACGCCATTACTTTAACTAAAACTCAATGAAGCTAAACAAGGGAATTTTTCTCTTTTTTACATCTCAACTCCACATGCATGAATTACTTTACATTTCTGCTTGAGTTTTACCATCAGCAGTTTAGTGTCTCTTTTGTTTCGTGATATTTTTTGTAAGTTTACTACTCTCTATTCAATACATGATGCACTGCTCATTTCCAAGGTACTTTAGTCGAGAAGGAAGCCATTAGTCGTCACGGAAAGGGGATTTTCTAGTGATGAAATTAACATTTCGACATTTGATGGACATAGGGCAGTAATGTGATAATGGTCTGCAAAGGAAATAAACCTTTGCCGCCAAAGGGAAGCTAGAATATTATCAACCACACTGATCGCATTATCGTAATCGAATATTAAAATCCTTAATCTTTTGTAACTAACATTGCACAGCAACAAGAAGTTTAGGTTTTTAAGGAAGACTTTTGAAAATATTTAAGTTTAGCAGTTTTGTTTGTTCGACATCATAACACTAAACACTCTGAAGAATCGTAAACTACACCAATGAAAACTGAACTGACATGGAAATTGATTAACATGCAATAGAACGTTTTCACATTAAACGGCAGATGTATTTACAATTCTTTGTTTCTTTTCAACACCTTCATTCAAATAATGCGTTTAAGGAAGGAAGTTTTAGGGAGTAATGTACCGCCTCTGCCATTAGGGCATTAACAGAGCAGGATATGAATAATTTTTTTTTTGTGATATCCCAAGGATGGAGGTCATATAAACGGAGCACACGGTTTCCAATTCACTGAAATCATAGCTGAGAATTAAGAGTTGTTATAGCAGTGGACGTTCGAAGAAGCTTTAACATGAAAACTTCAACCATGACTTCGACTCTTTGTTTCTTTTTTATTTTGTCTTCATTTCTCCAATTCTCGGACGCATTTGTCTCTAACCAAGTTGGTAGAAGATCTTCTAAGGTAGGTATTGAATACTTTTTATTTCATCTCTGAGAAATTGTTTTGTCAATGGCAACGTTTAGTACCGGTAAAATGGACTTTAGTGAGTTATGTCTTAAATTTGGGGGCATCACTTTTACTTCAGAGCAATGAGATTTACTTTATAAACAATATGTTCCTCCTTATTACAAACTTTTCTTTGACTACTGGTTCACTGGTGCACTGGCCATCACTTCCGTCAGTGATCTACGGTGAATATATCAGTACGGTTCAAATAACTTACCGTAGTTATTCGGTTATAAGGCGCACCGTTTTTTTCAAGAAATTCCTAATTTCTACTAAAAATTACCGCCAAAGTTTGGGTGCGTCTTATAGGCGAATATTTTCCGAAACAATTTTTTTTTTATCACAGTTACTGGTACGATTTCAAGCAAATAAAAGGACACACAGTGTTGAGCATTGACTTTTATAAATATGGCGGTTCTGAAAAGACAAGCGAAGTCAAATTTGCATAGATATGTTACGTGCTCGAGAGCGCGTGCTTAGTAATTTGATACGTCACAAAACGAAACGAAAATAAACAAGCGAAGAGATAAATACCTTCTTCATCCATTCAGCCTTTTTTGTGCACTGCGACCTGCATTCTTGGCGGTACGTTAATTCTTGTTTAATCAAGGCTTTTGTTTGTGCGCGTGGTCGCGTGTGCGACAATTCTGCTTTTGTTAATTAACGGTAAACTAAAATCAATAGGCGACTTTTTCGCTTTTTTGTAAGTTTATGAAAGAATTTACAATAAACTTGACCGATCTTTACTCCCCGAACAACGGTGCGCCTTATAACCAAGTATTTCAGCGATTTTCTCAGTTTGAAAACATGCAATAATGAAGTTGCCGAATTGGGGGTGCGTCTTATAGCCGAGTGCGCCTTATAACCGAATAACTACGGTAATTCTACGTATTCTAGTTCTAGGTATTCCAAGTAATACTTAGACTTCGTAAAGCACTCCCTAAATAAAACCCTATTTTCTTTATTCTTTAAAGCATGAAAGAAATCTTCAAGATATTTGCCGGTTAGCCTACGAACAATGTGGTGCCCTGGGACCTGAGCAGCAATCACGTGACTCAACGGCTGAAGACGCTAGGCTCAAGAGAAGAGACATTGAGTTTTTTTATTGATGAGCGAAAATAGCACAATTCACGGCGCCATCGAAGAAAATTGCTGTTTCTGTAGCGTTTTAGCGTTGAAAGAGGAAGTTTGATCATTAAAGAGACTGAAAAAAAGAGCGAAGTACGTAGTGTTACATCATGCAAAGTTTCATTTCTTGTGGACTAAGCAAGTCTATCGAACTCTTGAATTGAAAGTAAATTTGTGGTTAGGAATTCGGGCCTTACGCAACCATGAAGCCACCAAGCAGGAAATAGATGCATGGGAAATTAATAGTTTTCATTAACAAAACAGTACATCCACTAGCCTGTATAACAAGCAATTTAGTGAGTACTATTCGAATGCTTTGCCAGATTTCTCGCGCTTTTTACCTGGTTTACTGAGAATCCGTGACTTGTAAAAGAAAAAGGTACGAATGTGTTGCTCACTGCGACAAAGCCAATTCCAATTTTCGCTATAAAAACATTGCCCTCATATGCATATGAAATTTACTTAAAAGAGGTGTGTAAATTTTATGAAAAGTGCGCCTAGATTTTACCGTCACGAGCGACTGGGGACACACCTATGTGAGTCTAATTATAAGTGAGCTTCAATAATATATTTCACTCCTTTTATTTCTTTAGAAAGTTTAAACAATTATACCCTTAAACATTGAATACATTTTCTGTGTTAATTACAGAACCTAAAAAACGCTAAAGAAAAACTCCCTGAGGACTTTGTCCAATCAATACGCAATTTAAATTTACTGTATAATTTAAGGATACTTCAAATCGAAAGTTGGAGTAATCAATTATGTTTCTCTTGTCAGGGTTAAGAGGTCATCTATTAGTCACTAAGAATACTTAACATTGATAGAATTTTGTCTTGAGAGACGCTGGAAGGTCTGTTTGAGAGCCTACAGAGGATGGTTCACGCTGAGATCAGTGTACATCATAATTTTTAAGCGGTGCTGGTGAACAACAAATTAGAAAGACGATCTGATTATGAACGATTGACAGATGCAAATATTTAAGAATCATTTGGTTAATCAAAGAATAACGATGATCTTCAAGTATACTCTTTTTGCTTCTTTTTCATCTCCTATTTTCTCAGAATTGAGTCATGGGAATTCTTGTTAAAAATTGGTGAACAATTTTATGAAAGATTTCACCCTATCTATGACTAAACGAGGTTACGTGGTCATAAGTTTGACTCAGAAAGATATTCATGAATTGTGTTGAAAACTGACAAGGTGTCGGTCAAGGAATATTGGTTATAGGCAGTTATCATTTCAGACCGGTGGTAAATGACAAGAGGAAATGAACTAATTTAAACCTGAATTGGCAGCGATATTAAGGCACTTTTAAAATATTAAAATATCACATCCTGGAAATCGAATCGTCACTATACGAGGTGCGAGCGTTAAAGGTAAGTTTGCTCGCTTGTAAACTGTCTCATGATACAGAGATCATTTTAAAATTTTTAGCCATGGGATTGATCAAGACTCATTTCAATGCTGATATTTGGCTTTTTCAAAACCGCATCTAAAACTAGTTTCCTAACAAGTTTAAACCACGATCTTTATTTTGACATTTGGATCGACCATTTGGCATCTAGTCCTTCATGTCACTCTAAACACCCAACCTGCCTCAATGTTTACTTTTTTCCAATCTGATTCATACTCGTTATGCATCACTAAAATCAGTGAGAAAACTAGGATAAAATATCTCCAACATGTCCCTCGTTTTTATTTCTACCTCGTATGGAGTTCACCAAGGGTTTTATTCGCAGATAATATTCTTAATCTTTTTTAGATTCATTTGAATGTTTTATTACACTTAAGAAATCTCTCATAGCCCAAAGCGCGTTTATCGATTTCTGAGCGTAGTCATGAAAACCCATCAATTTCGTCTTTTTGGAAATTCCTGTCAAAACTTACGATCAAAATATCTGTGGAGAGTTTGCTGAATGTCTGTTTACATCGCCCTTTCAAAAATCTTTAACCACCTTGACAAAAAAGGCGTACTGTTATAAATTTACATAATTAATCTGTTTGCAGCTTAAAAAAAAATTAAGATATCCAAGGTGTTAAAAGTATTCATGTTTTTCTTTTCTCTTTCGTATTCTTTTTCATTATTCATTTAGATTTGTTTGCTTGCTTTTCTTTCTAAATGTTTCACTTTTGAATCAAAGTAGGTAGATCATTGATTTAATGGGCTGCTTAAAACAGGCCTGTTTCTGATAAACAAGCGTGCGCTAAAATGTTTTTTTTAATTAAAACTTCGCTCGCTCGAAATTGACACTTCGCTCGCTCTTTCACTACGAACAAATTGTTTGAGAAAATTCAGACATTAAATGAATGAAAGTTCCATTGTTCAGTTTACCTGCAACGGCGTATGTAATATAAATAAATGTTATTATTTTTTTCTCAGAGGGCACGGTAATGAATCCTGCAATCTGATTGGTTCTCAACCCGGTCAGTATTTTCCTATCTCTGCCCACGGGCACGGTAACGCTTTCGTGAGTCGCCAAGTACATCCCAAATTTCGTTGCCATTTTTCATAAATATATCTCGTTTTTCCGGCTGGGCAGTATTTTTAAGCAAACACGTCGGTCACTACCTCAAGCCGATAAATAACTTGTGAATCCTCTCTTTTCTCTCTCTCAAATCACTGTGGTTGACAGAAAAATATTGGTTTCAGAAAGAATTTGTTTAAGCAATAGTGTCATTACGTTGGTTGACTAGCGGCCTAAAAACCGTCTGCAATTAATTTTAATCGTTCACAAAAAGTATCTAGAAAGTTAAAACGTGAGGTATTTGGTTACAGTTAAACTGAACGAAGGAACTTCATTCATTTAATATCTGAATTTTCTCAAACAATTTGTTGGTGGTGAAAGAGCGAACAAAGTTTTATATTCAGTTTTACAACAAATATACGCTCTCGGTGAGTCTTTCCGAGTCTGTTCAATTTAGACATTTGTACCGTAAATTGTACTACAGAAACTGAAGGAATTTACTGAGAAAAGGCCGCATTAAATCCCCTTGTGTCTCATTGGAGAGTGCCATTCGAATTTAGTTTTTGTGGAGGAAAGACTAGATTTACACACGCCATT